TAAAGTCAGAAGTCCCAAATCCCAAAGCCTAAACCAAAAGACCATTCTTTTCCAAAGAAACTACCAGTTCCTCAGAAAATACAGCCAAGAGGTGCTGGTTAACGGTGCACACTGTACAGAGGAAACCATCCCTCATGAACTCCACAGGCACTCCACTTACACCCTGAAGTGAGAGATGGAAGCGCACAGACTTAACTTCCTTAGTTACAAATATTACACTTCCTTTCCTTTAATTTGAACAAGTGATCCTTTCCTCACATTATGCCACACGTGAACTTTCCTGGTCCATTTCAGTCGCCAACGCCATCCCAAAGACTGCACTTTATACAGTTCAATTCCTTCTTCTCACTAGGCTTTTATTTACACATGGAGACATATATTTTCAGAACTAGTGATTGCTGGTGTCCAAAATTATACTTTTTAATAAAGCCCTGATTATCCAAAAGTGCTGAGCACACAATCACTAAAAATGAGGCCTCAAATATTGTATTTCAAACTTCAGGCAGAAACATTTTCAGTGTGCTCTGGGATTTTTTTTTTCCATTTGACTTAAGAAGCATCATAGACATTAGTTCATTTAACCTGTCAGTGCAGCTTTAAATTAGATGGATTTTTTATGCAGATCTGTAGATGTGAACTAAGCCACATGCCAAAGCATTTACAAGGGCAAAATCCCAGGTGGGATAATAGCTTTTACGTACATACATACATATATATGCATATATACACACACATACATGTACACACACAAAACTCTCCAAAGGACGTGTATACTGCAAAAAAGAATGTGTGTTCTTAATTCTCCTTGGCAAATCTGAGTTAACTTGATTTAAAACAACAATAAAGGCAAGTAGATTAGGATTTAACTCAGGCTAGCAATTTGAATTTGAGCCTTTAAAGTAGCAGTCGGTGAAGTTTTCCAGTAGCGGGTTGAAATGGTCCAGTTTGGGTCCAAGACAGGCCAATGTTAGGACCCAATCACTGTCACCACCATTTCTCCCAATGACCTGGCTACAGTGCAGCAGAGGAAAGGTCTTGGCTGTCCAGCTACATCATGGCATAGCATGGTATGGGCGAAGACCCTGCTACTGAATGCCACTGAAGCCCCCGTCACCAAATACTGATGAAGCCTCAGCTCCGTGACTAGATCCAATGGTTCTGTGAGCCAGATCCAGCCTGTGAGCCATAGGTTGCTGATCCCTGTTCTAAAGGTACTTGGCTAATACAAATTAAAGTGCAAATTACCTTGCCTTCATTGCCATGTCAACTCAAGTTAGCTAACAGAGGTGAGGCAGCCCATCTGAAGAACAATTTTTTTTGTGGTGCCAGCATCTCTAAGTGCTAAAGAAATTTACCTAGTCCTTTTGGAGTATGAAAAACTATCCTGTTAATAATACCAATTTGAGTTAGAGGACACTGTACGGCTCCTGCACTTCTCCCTGTTAAAGCTACTGAGAAATAGAGAATAACTGAAAGAATAGTAAATTAGACAGGAAGACGATAAAAATCCATTGCAAGTCTTCAGCCCCATTCATACTAAAATCTACATCAATTCGTAGTGCCAAGGAAAATATTATTCTATCTTCTCACATATAACATGTCCCAGAATAGATTTTAAAACTTTATTAGTGAATGTTAAAAGCTGTGGTTAGCTACATGGGTTTGTGGGGATTTAAGAGGATATGGAACCCCATGCATTGTGACTACAGGGAGTGTAGTTGGGATGTGTTGGTGCAGTTGGTCATGTATGTTAGCCCAGAGTAAATGGGAAAAAGAAAACAGCAATGCATCGCTGTTGAGAGGATACACGGCCCCGCATATGATAATCACACCAGCTAAAGAGCGAAGCTTGCTGCCAGCCCTACATACTGGATGGAAGCTGTGCACCCACCCCAAGCTCCGGGTTTAGGGCTGTGCACCAGGTCCAGCCATGGCCTGACCCCACACACTGGCTTGATCTGATGTATGGGGCCATGTCATCCAGCCAGGATCCAGAATATTTTTTGGCAGGGGGAGCAGTGGCAGCTTTAATTGCCATGGCTCCCACTGCTGTAGCAGTTAAAGCTGCCAACACTCCTTTGCCACCAAATTTCCAAACTTGCAAAGACCCATATTTCTGGCATATAATGAGCACCCCAATTTCCACCAAATGGTTTGGGAAGGGGAGGGGGATGTGGTGCTTTTTTTTTTTTTGCAAGACTATATAGTAATCATGCATCCTTTTTTGTTCCTTCAACAAAACATTAAGATTCTTCATGCCTTTTCACCACTGATTCCTCCATAATTAGGGCATCTATAAAAAACACTTTGAATTGGTGATGCTAGCATGAGGGAGTCTGTTCTGATACTTCTCACACTTCCCCCATCCACTTTTGTTCTGCACAGATGGTCCCAATCATGCTTGCTCTTAAAGCAGGCTCAAGTCTCCAATGTTTCTTAATAAAGGCTAGAAAAAATACCCTTCCTTCTTCTGTTGAACAAGATCACGCAAAAGGAAACAATTACACGGTTTCTTTTAGTATCTTTTTCACTTGGAGAGTAGAAAACACCCATAATCCAATACTCCCATATCTAGGAAAGTTGGAAGCTGAACAGATGCAGAAAACTGAATCTTTTTGTGGTTATTTTGCTGTGAACATATTTGATCATGTCATTCATTGTTAGTTTGCCATCCCTTTCTTTGTCATAAGTAAAGGGACTGTCAGACCCTGCTAGCTGGGGTGGATGTTCAATAACTTCTTCCATGTCTATTTCTTCTGTGGCACTGTGCCATCCCCTTGATCCAACTAGTGCATGGGAAGTGCTATGAGAATTAAAGGGTTTGGGGGATTTTTAAATGAACAAAATTCCCGCTTCACCTTTTTAAACACACTTGGGGTGACGAAGGAATATCAGAGACGTTAATGGAGCCTCAGTATTCCCAAGAGATGCGTATGGAAGTACTGAGATCAGAAAAATTGAAGCACAGCAAGTTAAAAGCTAGGCCCAAGTTTCCAGTAAGCTGTTGGCAGAACTAACAATTTCAACGTTCATCTGAAAAGCACAGATTCTTGGCTTCCAGTCCTGGCCCCCAACTACTAGACAAGACTCCCTGTCCTATGTTAATGAATATTAAAGATGATGCCAACTGGAATTATATGTGAACAGAAAGAATAGATATTTTGGTCTGGGCTTCCGGCTACGAAGCAGCAGCAAGTTGATAGCTCTTCCTCAGAACAGCCACTGCTGACATCAAATATGGACCTAATCACACATAAGCAAGTGTACCTTTCAATCTGAAAATCCATTTGGAATAACATTGGAAATGATGAGGACACACTGGGTCAGATCAAAGACCCATCTAGCCCCGGTTCCTGCTTCTTATAGAAGCAGAAAGTGGATGCTGAAGGGAAAAGTATTTCTGCAGGGCTTATCCTAGCTGATCTGTCCCCTGTCTCTCTTCCAGCATCTTCCAGCTTAGAACTTCTCATTTGTAGTTGTACCCTTCACTATGTTGTAATACTCACCAATGGACCTATCCGGTATGAATGTATCCCATCCCTTTTGAACCTGGTTAAATTATCAGCTTCCACCATCTTGTGCTAACGAGTTCCATAAGTCAAGTATACGTTGTGTGCAAAAGATCTTTATTTTTAAACCTGGTTCCTAATAATTTCATTGTACATTCTCTAGTTCTAGTACTGTAAAAGATGGGAAATAGTAAATCCCTTTGTGTTATCATCACAGCATTTTTTACTGCCTCCTGGGGTAACAAGGAATAATGGTCACAAACTGACAGAGAGCAGATTTAGGCTAGATATCAGGAAAAATTTCTTCATGGTAAGGGTGGCCAAAATTTGGAATGGGCTTCCAAGGGAGGTGGTGCTCACCCCTACCTTGGGGGTCTTTAAGAGAAGGCTGGATAGGCATCTGGCTGACCCCAGTGCTCTTTCCTGCCTAGGCAGGGGTCAGACTCGATGATCTGTTGAGGTCCCTTCCGACTCTAGCATCTATGAATCTATATACACAATCTAATATTGAGCCAAAGTGTAACAGTAATTCATTTTTCGCATGTACATTGCACCTCATTGCAAAGAATTTATAAATTGCTTCACTTGGCATCTACAGATACCAGTGAAGCCACCGTGTTTTAGCAGGACAAAATACGAGGGGGAGAGGAAAGAAATGCAAAATATATTCATAAGACAAGACAGAGGGATCATTCCTACCCTAATGAGAAAGAAATGAGAACCTTGTGGCCCACCCAACCCACAGCACCCAGGTCCCCGGGGTTTGGGAAATCACACCCAAGCTATACCCTTTTGCCTTACCATGCAATCAGTGCAACTTTAGTTTTATGCTTCTGTCCTATCTTATCAATGATCTAGGAGCTGAGTAAATATTTTGGGGCTTGTGCTGTGAATATCTGATGGTCTGTTAAAATAACTGGAACTTGCCTTGCTGTTCTTTATTTTAACTCCTATATTTTGGCATATTAGTGACACTCACAAGCAGCTTTAAGATAGCAACTTAAATGGGTTTAGACAGCCATATCAGAAAGAAGATACACAGTACTACAGGTCTAAACTAGACAAATAAAAATACTCTCCCTCCTACCCATATGTCTCTCTCAAGAAAACACTCTTACAGAAAAGCTCTAAGTGGGTTATTGTTAGCGAAATTTTCATAGGGGTTCCTAGATTATGCATGCACAAGGAAGTTAGCCTGGTGTATGCAGTAACTATTTTTTCATGCACAAGAATCCAGGTAGACATGATTTTTTTTTCCCCTGCACAAATGAGAACAAGTGCAAAATTTTGAAAGGCAGAATTTCAAGGACTCTTTTAAAAGATGATCTCATGCCATAACCACAGTCTCTCCTCACCTGGCATTCCAAGACCATACTCAACTTTTAAAGGTAGAATTTGCAAGCCATTTTTTCCAAACTGCGCTACATCACCATTCCCCGCTCCCCCACAGTATTACAAATAACTAGTTTTATTATCTTTTCCTCTCCGTACCTTGTCGCTGCTTCTGTATTTGGTCCATTTCTTCAGCATTTTTATCCATTTGTCCACTCGCTCAATCTCCTGCAGTTTGTGCTGGAAAAAAAATCAGTTCAATCCAAATAATATTACAGAAGAAGGACTTTTCAGTCTCATTAAACTAAACTGTGATAACATCATCTTACATTCAGTTTCATACACACACCTTTTGTAGCACTGACAAGAAATAATGAGAAGCGCTTGCAGGGGTAAACAGCCTCTTCCCAAAGTAAGGAATGAAGTGCAGCAGAGGCCAGTGAAATGCCCAGGCTGGGTACATAGACCCTTCTTGCAAAAGGAGCATTCCTTGACAGTCACAGATGCTACAGCGCACACCCAACCACAAGCTGCTCCACACTGCGTCTACCAGATGGCAGATAGCTGCTAGAGAAGACTTAGTCCCAGTTAGGGTTCTGATCTGGAAACTGGACAGTCATGTTACTGCAAAGCAAGCAGGTCCCTTGCGGTGGTAAGGAAGTAAACTTTACCAGTTGAGCTGACAGGAAGCCTCTGTTCATACCCTATCACTCACAATCTAAGCATGTCACAAGGATTTGCACTCAGAGGTAAGCTCTAGAATGACCTCCCCCACAAACTGCAGTGCAGTTATGAACTCTTACACTCCGAGATCCTGAAACTAAAGGCTTAGTAAAAACTGAATCAATTTCTTTTTCTGAAATAATTTTGGGCTTCTTTGAACCTGCAGAGAAACCTCCCCTAACAGAATAGTTCTCTTCTGCTGAGACAGAGCCATCTAACCGTGGCTTGAATATCAGAAAGGGGGCTGTGATCTACTGGCAGCTGTACCAATGCACAAGGTTTAAGATTAACATGTCAACATCACGCCCTGCTCAGCTTCCTTAATGTTCAAAAGACTGGTCCCACAACTCAGGGTAGAATCTGATTCTGACCTCCTCTCACTGCAGTTTTTATTCCATCAGTACTGAATAACTAGCTACATCTGAGGACTTGCAACCAGTGAACTTAGCTGGGGGCTCAATACTTACCACAGGACAGAAACTTAGTAGAGTACCTCAGCTCTCCATTTTCCCTGCTCCAAATTGAGCTAACACCACTAGGAGTTTCCATCACTTCCATAGCATATAGTGGTTGGCTTGCCCCAGCATGCAACACTTTGAGAGCTGCCCCTCTTTGAGCAGATTTCCTGTGATGGCTTTATGGTAAGGAGTTACTCCATTAACTTCACAGCCACAGCTGAGGTGAAGCTGGTTTTTATTTATTGGAAGAAAACTGTGCTCATGTGCCATGCCTAAGGTCTTTACTTGCTGTTAAACAGCAGGCCCCATCACCTCCCTGTTCAGCACTGTGTTTTACAAGGTCTGATCTCAACAGGCAGTAAAATTCTTCCAGTTCTTACCTTCTCTTCCACTGCACTGCGGATCGGCAGCTCGTGTTCACTGAAAGAGTAAGAATTAGTGATTGAATCTACAGGCAAGAAACGTTTGAAGCACTACACGGTACATAGTGGAAACATGCATTGATCAAGTGTTGAAGCAAAAATTCACTGCTTTACAGAGATGGCCTGCCTGAAAGGAAAATCAATTGTTTGTTGAAAGTTTAGGGTTAGAAGTGGTTTTTTAGTAAAACAGGTAAGCAAATCTTCTACCACCCTATTTTCAACAGTAAATGCTGTTTCCAAGGGAAAAATCCCACTTGCAGGACATACCTGATGTTCTTTTAGAAAAATTGGGAACAAAAAATATTTCACTTTAAGGTCAGCCTTGGTACTAATCAAAACACTACAGCTTAATGCTACAGTTAACTGCATCTACTTGGAGGTGTCATGGTACCTTATTCATTCCCTCATTGTCTCTGTGCTGGAGTTCCTCATTTGTACTATACCTCCCTGATGTACTATCCTCCATGCTCTACATGAGTCAAAGCAGTGAGTCATGGGGTGTCCCATGCCACATCATGGGAGTCCAGCTAGTGATCCCAGCCCACAGAAAGGAATCTGAGCAGGAGACACCTGAACTACAGCTCCCATGATGCACTGCAGGAATTTGGGAAGATGCAGTCTGGTTTTTTAACTAAGCCAAGGTATCTCAATTTAGTTTAAACCAAAATGCTTTCATAGGGGAACACCAAAGGGGTTAGCTTTGATCAAAACAGTCTCAAGAAAAGGACTCAAATTCCTGGACTTCCCATTCCATAAGATATATTGACTTTGTTGAAATATGGCACAAAAGTGAGCATCAAAACATGGGTGTTTTCTCCCCAGGAAAGGCATTCCAATTCTTGACCAGCTGAACTGCTTAGGACAGAAGTGAGAGGTCCCAAAAGAGTTGTTTCCTCTGCTTCTACTTCCCCATGCATGCCAAGGTGCAAGTGCATGATGCTCCAAGTCCCAGAAACATAAGATGCACACTCTTGTACTGAGGCAGTGCTCTGTTCTAGTCTGTGAACAAAACCAGATGAGTGCTGAGACAGGCAGTCTCTGACTCTAGCCTTGGCCAACAAGAAATAGTTTCTCTCTCAAATTCTTCTGAGAACATAATGGCTGCCGTCATGGATTTTCTAAACTGTTGGCCTACTGTCAGATTCTCCCACCTGACCACCTGAAATATTTTCAAGGAAGACTGTGTTTGTTCAAAGCACTTTGGGAGAATCCTTGAATGGTGGAAAATTTCCACCTCAGAAAGCTTCCATTTGTTCAAAGACAAGCAGACAATACATCCATTTCACTTTATACATGTGGGACTAATCAAACAGCCAACAACAAAGGTGTTGAAGCCACTGCCAGGTCAACAACCTACATCAACACACCACCAAGGGCAGCTGGAATAAGATGAGGGAGTAACTTACTGGAGAAATCCAAATCTGTCCGTGACCTTATACAGGGTGAAGTCAGCATCTTCCCATGGGTCAATCTGAGCTCCTTCCTGTCTTCCCTGCAAAGCAAAAGATGACAAGAGTCACCCCTGAAATGATGCCAACAGTGCAAGGCCCTCAAAGCATGAATGCACTAGTTCTTAACACTTATAGGAATGGTATGAGAGCAAAGGACTCTGGTGTAACACAGGTCTCAGCCAGCAGGTCTCCCTTTGTACTGCCTGGCCCACGTGCCTCAGCCATGAATGCATGCACATAATTAGGGCTATGACAAAGTGTAACCCATTCTCATCTGCAAGGGGATACAGCACTGAAGAGCACAAGTCCTATTATTTTTTTGGTCTCCAAGCCCGTTCAGTCTCTCTGCTGACACCGTCAGGTCTCCTAGTCACAGAACTGGTGGTCCAAGTCAAATGGTGACAACCTCAAAACCGCAGAGGGAGGCGGGCTGAATAACATGGGGAAAATGGAAACCCAGTACGAAGTGAGAAGGAAACTGATAATGAGAGTTCTTTGGTTTTGCCTTGTTCAGGTAGAGATAGTGGAACCTATATTTGAACTGACCAAATGGAGGTGCCTCAGCCCATCTGCAAAACCTTCATCATGAGCTAATTATACACCCTCAAATGTTGCCTGAATTCTTCAGTTCTTTGGGCAGAAGCCAGAAAATGGTGGGTGGTGTAGTGTAATAGTACTGGGTAATGTCTGAAAGAAGACATCCCCTTTTACTGGATTAGGCACTCCTGATTCCCCAGATGGGTAAACTCTTAAGCAGCACTGTGGCTGGTTGACAGATTAGTACCTTTTCATACTTGGCGATGATCTCAGCTCTTTCCTGTGCTATTAAGGTGTCAATATCTTTCTTCATGTCAGAAGCTGTAAAAAGCAAAAAAGGAGAGGAAAAAGGAGATAATAAGCAAATGTGCACACAGTCTGGGGAATATTTTGGGAGACTGCTAATAGAAAAAAAGCTTTGCTGAGAACTTCAACTTCCAACCTCACCCAAAGCTAAAATTAGGCTGTGAATGAAAAGCTGCAGAAACAAAGTGCATTTGGCGCTTGCACATAGTGAGCACAGCTGCTAAATCTGTGGTCTTTGCATGGGCAAACAATTGGATTTGAGCAAGTAGGAGTTTTGTCCCCATCAAGGACTGCAGGATTGGTTGCTGTGCATTTTTTCTTCACATGCCTACACTCAAAATCAGGTTTTTCCTGAGATGTATGAAGGTTAAAAGCCCCGCAACATTAGAACTCTTATATTATACCAAAGTTTGGGCCAGCTGGATTCCTACAGGGCTAGGCATTTACGTTGATAAAGGGAAAGGCCAAGTCCTGCCCTCACACACAAAAAATCACAGGAAGCTCCATGTGGGCATCTGAAAACAGTCATAGAAGAGGCGGGGGGGGGAATCCTTCAGAAAACATTAGCTACTTCACTGCATGCATACTCTGAACACAGAGATCAGACTAACATAAGCAACAGAATTGCAAAGAAATTAAGGGACCTGGATACCACAAGCACCTTTGCAGTTGGCACTTGCACCTTCCTATAAAGTGACTGAATAGATCAATCCATCAATACTGCTAAGACAGTGTTGTTCATCAGGCCACTGTCCTGGAACCCAGGCTATTTGCTTTGCTTTGCACAATATGCATGCAATCACCTGAAGGCAACTTCCCATCTCCCAGATGCTGGGCCAGTTTTAGAACCTGCACACAAAACCCTGGTTAAGAGAAATGGAACAGCCTTCCAATCACACCACAACATGTTTCCAAATGAGCATGGGAAGCTTCCCAGGCACTGATAATCTGCAATAAGCATTTGAACCACAGTCTGTATGGGTGGCAGTCTGCAAGAGACCCAACACGGTCACTGCAAGAATCATCTACCATGCAAAGGAATAACCTGGAGGGAATGAACTTGCAAAGAAGAGCTATGGTCTTCACTGAAGACAACAAAATTGAAAAGGGAGATATTAGTTATACTTCTCCTTATATTAATACAGAACAGTTTCTTATGGCATATGATCCTGTTAGTTCTTCAGTCAGTATCATTTGAACTAAACTAGCTGATGCAACTAACACCAAGGCTAAGTACAGACAGTCAAAAAGCCTGAGGCTGAATTGATTCAATCTTCACAGGTTAATCTAAACTGCGTAGATTGAACTGATAAACAAGTGAACAGACATTCACTTTTGATTCTGGAAATGCAGCCACATGCCTGCAGTGGCACAGGCCAGAAGCTGGTGGGAGGCAGGGGGCAGTGCAAGAGCATGTCTCCCTGCTCTGCT